AGTTTTTACCGGATTTCCTTGGAACAGTAGATATCTAAGACGACAGAAGAATCCAAAGGGAGTTTATGTGATCCACAAGTAGAGTGTTGTCGCTTATCTGGAACTACTTACAATCAATCAATGTCGAGGGAAAATGATCATACCGTTTTAATCATAAACTACTATTTTATATATGTAATATGCAATCGATTTTTCTTGATGGATCATGATTTTTTATCAAGTACATGTCAAATAAATGTTATTGAACACATTTTCTGAGCCCTCTAGTTATTTTATATATGACTCCGAGCGTGTTATATATAATACACCGCAATATCTCACTGAAGTATCGTAATAAAACAATAATGCGAGATTAGGATAGCCAATCTATATCAATAACAAGGCAAATGCAAATGCAAACACACCGCTATATATCCAGGCATATCACTTTATTTAATCTTCTCATGCTTTTTTTTTCTCGCACTGCACCAGCTACCACTATAAATCTTCAAATTCCGGACTCCAGATGAAAACCTGATACCGACCTGCATATATTCATATCTAAGGCACATCTGAAAACGTTCAAAGACCCCCTCTGTATATGTTTGAATGCGAAATACTGCTTGAACCGTTATATCAATGCCTGATGGTTTAAACATAACTTAAAAGAACACTTTTCAAAGTACAATATTTTTGTAGACTTTGTAAAACAACTAGCGATAAAAATAGAATACTGCCGTTTCATACAGGCAGAATAGATCGAGGGGCATTATCGTGGAGAAATTTAACCCAGTAAAGCAGTAGCGAAAGTCAACAGAAACTGTGACCCGTTCATTGAGTGTTAGAAGTAATAGTCGTGCTGGTATCGATCTCCGTACGATTCAGATAATAACTTCTCTCTACAACAAAATGTTCGACCTGACCTCGAAGGTCACGCGAAACCCTCTTTCGCCTTCGTTTGTAGTTGGAGAAAAATCAATGGAATCTCCGTCTATTGTGTGGCGCAATTATCACAAATGAATAGCTGATTTGAACTGTATTCAGACAAAGGTAGGGCAACAACTGGCAATGGTCTACCCATTACCTCAGATGATTGGCGGCATAAAAGAGCATCCCATGGCTGTATGGATCCGGAGCCAGACGATACACAATGTGGTCACTGTACTGTGATGATCCTCTCTGTATGGAGAGAGTTTAGTCTAAAATAGTGGCTTGATATTGTTACGTTATATTGCAGATTTGCAGTAATGGTAACTAAAAGTAGTTGAACAATTCATGTATCTTTTCAAAAATAAGAAAACTCAATTGCACAAAAACGAGAGAAACCCCCAATGTTGATTGACAGACATTTCAGGGTATTTTATGAACATAAATCTAGCTGCAAAATTATGAGTATAGCTTGCCTTCTTGATAAATCTATGAAGGAAATAGTTAAATAGAATGGCCATTCAGTGAGTCACGAACGAATAAAAAATCATGTGGTTTTGCTATCATTAAATAAAGGATGAGAGTATATTCTTCAATGACGATATTTTATAACCATGATAACTTTGATGTCGCAGCAGCCAGGGGCATGACTTGCAGTAAGGTCATCTATCGATGGACCTTGGTATTACAGTGACAAGGAGATGGGCGGATGGGCTTTGCGAATCGACTACTATTTGGACGACTGTCAGCTAAGTAGTCAGCATGTGCTCACCTCTTTGACAATCTATGCCTAGACATTTAATATGTTGTTTCGTCCAAATTTCCAGGTAATACATAATTTTTCACACGAAAACAAGACAATTTTAAGTCAAGGTGCAATTGCATATTCCTAAACCAATAGGCCAGTACTGTTCAAAAGCCTCCCATTTCCAACTCCGAAAATCTTCATTACTAAAAGTCAAATAAATTTTTTAACGGAAAGAAACACGCCTTTATCCTCCGCTAAAAACGTCTATGTTAGCTGATCGCCTACTACTTTTTGAGGTCAGAGGTCAGCCTCATCATTTCCGCGAGGTATGGCTTGGTCTAGAATATGGTAGGACGGCCACGAAAGACGGCCACGCCGCTATTGGTCAATTTCTCAGCAAGCTCCACGCTGCTATTGGTCGGGGTATCAGCTGCTGCAGTGAGGGGTAGCTAGCGGTGGGGAGGGCTGCCGGCGTTTATCCACAACTTTTAGGGGCAAAAAAACGTCAACCTTTACGACTATAATCACTCCACTTCGGTGGATAAGCCACAAACAGTCATTTGTGCGGCTCTTAGCTCTGGAAACCTTACAGGTAATGACTGCGTGAGGGAGTTGGGTCTAGATTACGTTACCAGTAAAACGCCGTACGCGTACGCGTATACGGGAAATACTTTCCATGGGCCTTTCATAATGTAGGGACCAGGTAAGCACCGTACAGGTGATATTTGCGTGGCCCTTTCATCTGGAGACCAGGTAAGGAACCGTACAGGTGATATTTGCGTGGCCCTTTCATCTGGGGACCAGGTAAGGCACCGTACAGGTGATATT